AGAGCTAAGGGTTTATAATCCTCTTTGCCAACTTGCTAACAGTACCCTCTAGTGTTTGGCATCAGAACAACGGGCTTATGAGTATTGGCTATGCAGCTGTCAAACTGCCTTTGAATATGGTGGATTCTGGACTAGGCAACAAGGAGGGGAAGACCGATTAACAAGGCAGACAGGTCCTTGCCTATAAGGGACTTCCAGTCTATCAGGAAAGACAAACCCGCAATTGTATGACTGCCAGAGAATGACACAGACTAAACGGAATAAGCAGAGACCAGTGAGTGCCAGAGATGAAGTGGCCATTATGCAGGGCTTAACAGGCAAAGGATGGAAGTTAGCACTCTTCAGGCCAAGGATCCCAGGCCCAGGACCTAGTATTTCAGGGTAGTCAGGGCACAAGGCCATGGGTGGGATGTTTTAGGAAGTACAGCTGTGCAAAGCCCTATTTGCAGAAGGCCATCTTGAGTAAAATGTTAGCATATTTTATGGCAGAGGGGAAAAGGTGGATATGTCAGTGAAATGGGCATAGGAAACCATACAGACTGAACATGTTTGCAGCAGTGCTCGAAAGCAAAGAGTCTGAGATGGGCACTGTCAGTAGGAAGGAGAGAAAGGCAAATGTTTGTAAAACAGTCATACTGACAAGAAAGAGGGTGGTTAAGCAGAGAAGGAGGCAGAAGGAAATTCTACAGTTTCTGGCCTTAGTTTATTATTCCAATAAAGGTAAAAATTAGAGGAAGGGAAGTAGGTACTCTGGGAAATTTTTACTTAACATTTTTTCTATCTTGCCCAGGTGCGCTATTTGTTCTGGGTCCTAAGCTATGAAACATTAATTAATTCTAATAGACACATCCATTATGAAAACAGGTATTTAAAATACATAAGCTGGGGATTTAGCTGAGTGATTCCGCCACCTGCCTCACAAGTGCAAGGACCTGTGTATGATCACCGGTACCAAAAAAAACAAAAAACAAAACAACAACAAAAAAATACATAAGATGAGCTTGGGACTTCTCATAGTGCCTGAAAAGAAGGAAATGCTCAAAAATAAAAGAAAACACAATTACAGGAATGTGTTACACAGCTAGGACAATCTGAACAACAAAATAAATATTTTTATATATTTAGTATTGGATTGAAACCAAAGTGTTATTTATATGTGCCATATATATATGTGTTTGTGTATTTTGTATGTGATATACATATGTATTTTACATGTGATATATATGTATGTGTGTGTGTGTATATATATATATATATATATATAGAGAGAGAGAGAGAGAGAGAGAGAGAGAGA